AGAAAGTTAGCGGAGGGGATCGGGAGTATGCCTCCCGCCCTGTCTCGCCCGTTGACATCCCTAATCGGTGCCAAAGCACCCACGTATTTTTTTTTTAACAATTTGGTTTAATTTTTTTTTTTTAAATTTTTTAAGACTGTATAATTATAAACTATTTAATACTTGAATAGTTAATACTAAAATATTAAATATTAACCTAAAAAACAATTTGAGTTTGAACAATGTCGTAATAATTACTACATACTAATTAACTAACTATTATGCCTTATAAATAATAAAGGAATGAATGAGGTTAATAGCAAGTATACATATACTACTACCTTTTTTTCCATTATTGTTAAAATACTATACACACACACACGTATAATACCATCGTTTATTACCTTTAAATCATTTTTCCTATATATATATACATATATATATATATATATATATAATCTTAAAAATTAATTGTAATTAAAAAAATCCAACGACAAATAATTCATTAACCACATATCTCTTCAACTTGTTGTAAAACACAAATAATTCATTAACCACGAAAATCCTTAACCCAAAAAAAAAAAAAAAAATCTTGAGATCTGCATGAAGATACTTACGTTTTGAAGGATGCAACACTAATCCATTGTATTTACTGGACGGTGGAAGAAGGGATTGAGAGAGTCAACAAGATATAATTTCACAGAGAACGGGAAGAATAGGGAGATAGAGGCGGAGCCAGGATTAAATAATGCTGTGAGCCATGCATATAAACCTGTGAGCTGCTTTTACTGCACCAATGTTTAACACTGCAAATTACAATCAATTATATCTTAAATTAGTAATAAAACATGTAGAATGTTTAAACAAATGAAATTGCTGTTAAATTAGTAATTTCATTTGTGTAAACTAGTAATTTCATTCTTCCAAAAGGTTGAACCCCAACCTGACAGAGATCCACTAAGCATGAACCACATAGGCTAGACCTTTACTTACTGCGCACTAGGAGCCCCCTCACTTTGGGAGGTAGCTCCCACACTGCCGCTGGTGAGACTCGATTCCTGGTCATTCTTCCAACTTTTCACCTCTATAACCAGTTAAGCTGCCCATGCGGGTAAACTAGTAATTTCATTTTGTTTAGCATTGCAAATTCTAATAATTTATACTTGTAATTATGATAGTAGATTGCTGTTAAAACAAATGAAATATTCTAGCTAAAGATAGAACTCAACAACGTACTTAATTAACAACGGGTAATACTAGAATTTCACAAAACTTGAAGCACAACATTGAGTTCGATTAGCTGGTGATGAAGTATGGATGACACTGGCATTTCGAGAAATAGGAAAATTAATTTGCAGTTGCAAACATTAAAGCTCAGCCGTAAAATCATTGATCACAATTTCAAAAACGATTAAGAAAAGAGAAATGAGAGAGAGAGAGTCAGAGAGACGAACCTGGTAAGCCACCGGAGACCGGAGACCGGATTTCTCGCACAGTCGCACGAGTAGTTGATGAAATGTTTTGGAAGCTTACTTTGGAAGCTTTTGGATGGTAGTGCGACCAAAATCTTGTTGAAAGCTTATTCTAGACGCTTTTGGATGGCGCATATACTTTAATTTTGTTGAAATCTTACTCTAGAAGCTTGGCAATTTTTATGCCGTTCTATGTTTATAATTACTGAACTCTATGTTCATAATTATAAAACTCTATGTTCATAACTTTTGAACTACATATTCACAATTATTGAACTCTATATAGACAATTACAGAACTCTATATTCATAATTACAGAACTCTATGTTCATAATTATAAAACTGTATGTTCATAATTTTTGAACTTCATATTCACAATTATTGAACTCTGTATTCACAATTATAGAACTCTATGTTCATAATTATAGAACTGAGTAAATTTCAATTTTGGTCCACTGACTATTGAACTTGTGTTAATTGCAACACTTGACTTTCAAAACTGTTAATTTAGTACCTTGACTATGTAATTTTTATCAATTTTGGTCACTCCGACCAAATTATCGACCAATTGTGACCGGAAAATTTTAAGTCAACATTCAATCTGAATTGGAAGGGTAAATTCGTTTTTTCATGTTAAGAAAATAGGAAAAATATTGAGTTCCACCGTTGACTGTAAATCCGTTGTGAGATCGTCGGCGCGAGAGAATCCCATGTTTCCGACTCTCCTCACTGCGCCATTTCGCAGCTGCTCAGCCCTTTAATCAGCTTCTTGAGGACCTCCCCGACCGAAATCTCCGGTGGCCACTGGCAGTCCACGGCGGCCTTCAAGGATTTCGACTCGAACACGAATATAACCACCTTCGTCTTCTTCGTCCCCCTAGCCGAGAGTGAGCATGTGCCAGGCCTGGTGGGCCAGGATCGTGAAATTTGTCAGCACAAAAGCAGTGGTGAAAGGGATAGACGGCTTGGCAGCGTTGGAGGGGACAACAGAAGCGCGAGGAGGTGGAGGAGCTCCAGCAGCCGTGCGCGACGGACGGTGAAGGATTTGACGATGAATTGGTCGCTGAATCTGAGACCCTTTAATTCAGAATTCAACGGAGAAGGATTTGATGATGAATTGAACGCCGAATTGGCCGCAAGAGAACGGGCTAAGTTTATACGCATATGTAAAAAGGAAGCAATGAAGACATTGCACTGCACCCATTTTGAATTTTGATTTTCAACCAGTGAAGAATCTTTTCCAAGATTGCCATGGCAAAAATCCACCTGTTAGTAGTATTGCATATGGAGAACAACGTTAATCACAACATTAAATATAATTAAGATTATTAATTGATTGGATGGTGTGAGATAGATATGATATGACGAATTTACCCCTTTCAATTTAGTTTAAATATTGACTTATAATTTTCTGGTCACATTTGGTCGGTAATTTGGCCGGAGTGACCAAAATTGATAAAAATTGCATAGTCAATGTACTAAATTAACAGTTTTGAAAGTCATGTGTTGCAATTAACACAAGTTCAATAATCAGTGGACCAAAATTGAAATTTACTCTTATAGAACACTATGTTCATAATTTTTGAACTCTATATTCACAATTATGACAGTTTTGGAACTGAGTCGAACTTGCAAGGTGGACATAGTTCCACAACATAATTTGCCGAAGCTTGGTGACGGGGCCCAAAAATTACAATATAATATTAATTTAACAGGTGAAAGAAAGCCTAATGATTTATAATGAAAAGTCCAGCTTGGGGGGGGGGGGGGGACGAAGTAACAAAATTATACAAACTAGAGGAAAATTTTGAATCCAAGTCGATAACAAGCTTAAAATAAATGGATATGAATATAAGAACCACTCAACCACCTTGTTTACCAAATCACGATTCACAAAATAAAACCTTAAAATTTTCATATTCTGGGATAATATGCAGAAAAATTAACCGTTATACCTCCGGGAGGTGCATCCACATAAAGAATCCAAGTTTAGTTTTAGACTCACAAAAGAAGTTATACTTCAAAAAATAAGTAAAACACTGATCAGAAAGACAAGCCGAAGCTGGATGCCGCTAGTCGCTTCACTGATATATAGCTAACGGTGGTCTCGCTAATGCTCATTGCCGTTGTCTCGCCTCGTAGATGGTCGTTGAAGCTTGAAGCCGCATCTTGCCTTGCAGATGGATGATAGTGTCGTTGTCTCACCTCGTAGATGGTCGTTGAAGCTTGAAGCCGCTGTCTGTCTACGAGGCTCGACGCCACTTCTCGCCTCGCATATGGATGATAGTGGTCTTTCCGACCTCGCGTAGTCAAGGCCAACAGATTTGGAGTGCGGCAATAAGCCCAATAGATTTCGAGTCTATCTCCTTAACCACTCAAACATATTGACAAGTTGACTCTTTACTCTTTTGTCAAGATCATTCAAAAAGATACATCATGCGTCAACAGCAGGATTCAAACCAGCGCAAGCAAAGCCCAATAGATTTCAAGTCTATCTCCTTAACTACTCGGACATATCGACAAGTTAACACTTATGCAAAGATCATTCTAATAGATACAGCAAAGATAACTTGCAAGCGAATACAAATAGAAGAATTATGATTTTCAAAGTCACCCATCCATTGTATTAAATATACACCAATGAAAAGCAAAAGAACAGAGTGACAAAATTATACAAACTAGAGGAAATTTTTGAATCTAAGTCGATAACAAGGTTAAAATAAATGGATATTAATATAAGAACCACTCAACCACCTTTTTTACCAAATCACGATTCACAAAATAAAACCTTAAAATTTTCATATTCTGGCATAATATGCAAAAAAATTAACCGTTATACCTCCGGGAGATGCATCCACATAAAGAATCCAAGTTTAGTTTTAGACTCACAAAAGAAGTTATACTTCAAAAAATAAGTAAAACACTGATCAGAAAGACAAGCCGAAGCTGGATGCCGCTAGTCGCCTCAGCGATATATAGCTAACGGTGGTCTCGCTAAAGCTCATTGCCGTTGTCTCGCCTCGTAGATGGTCGTTGAAGCTTGAAGCCGCTGTCTGTCTATGAGGCTCAGTGCCGCTTCTCGCCTTGCAGATGGATGATTGTCTCGCCTCGTAGATGGTCGTTGAAGCTTGAAGCCGCTGTCTGTCTACAAGGCTCGACGCCGCTTCTCGCCTTGCAGATGGATGATAGTGGTCTCGCCGACCTCGCCTAGTCAAAGCCCAATATGTTGCCCAAAAGATTTTGAGTCAAGCAATAAGCCCAATAGATTTTGAGATCGCTTACGAAATCCTGTAGTCAAAGCCCAATAGATTTTGAGATCGCTTACGAAATCCTGTAGTCAAAGCCCAATAGATTTTGAGATCGCTTACGAAATCCTGTAGTCAAAGCCCAATAGATTTCTCGCAAATTTCAATTCAAACTTGCAAATTTCAAGACCGCTTACAATAAAATGCGTCAAATCGCTTACGAAATCCTGTAGTCAAAGCCCAATAGATTTCTCGCAAATTTCAATTCAAACTTGCAAATTTCAAGACCGCTTACAATAAAATGCGTCAAAAGCAGGACTTGAACCTGCGCTGGCAAAGCCCAATAGATTTCAAGTCTATCTCCTTAACCACTCAGACATAGTGACAAGTTAACTCTTATGCAAAGTTCATTATAATAAATACATCAAAGACAACTTGCAAGGGAAAACAGCCAGCAACAGCAAAAAAATGTGTCGACAACAAGATTCAAACCTGCACAAGCAAAGCCCAATAGATTTCAAGTCTATCTCCTTAACCACTCGGACATATTGAAAAGTTAACAATTATGCAAAGATCATTATAATAGATACACCAAAGATAACTTGCAAGGGAATACAAATTGATGAATTATGTTTAAAGTCACCCATCCATTGTATTAAATATACAATAATGAAAACCAAATGAACAGAGTAACAAAACAATACAAACTAGAGGAAATATTTGAATCCATGTCGATAACAAGCTTGAAATAAATGGATATTAATATATGAACCACTTAACCACCTTGTTTTCCAAATCACGATTCACAAAATAAAACCTTAAAATTTTCATATTCTGCATAATATGCAGAAAGATTAATCGTTATACCTCCGGGAGATGCATCCTCATAAAGAATCCTACTTTAGTTTTAGACTCACAAAGGAAGTTATACTTCAAAAAATAAGTAAAACACTAATCAGAAAGCCGAGCCGAAACTGGATGCAGCTAGTCGCCTCACAGATATATAGCTAACGGTGGTATCGCTAAAGCTAATTGCCATTGTCTCGCCTCGTAGATGGTCGTTGAAGCTTGAAGATGCTGTCTGTCTACGAGGCTCGACGCCGCATCTCGCCTTGCAGAGGGATGATAGTGCCGTTGTCTCACCTCGTAGATGGTCGTTGAAGCTTGAAGCCGTTGTCTGTCTACGAGGCTCGACGCCACTTCTCGCCTCGCAGATGGATGATAGTGGTCATGCCGACCTCTCGTAGTCAAAGTCTAATATGTTGCCCAATAGATTTTGAGTCAGGCAATAAGCCCAATAGATTTTGAGTCAGGCAATAAGCCCAACAGATTTTGAGACCGCTTACGGAATCGTGTAGTCAAAGCCCAATAGATTTCTCGCAAATTTCAATTCAAACTTGCAAAATCGTGTAGTCAAAGCCCAATAGATTTCTCACAAATTTCAATTCGAACTTGTAAATTTCAAGACCGCTTACAATAAAATGCGTCAACAACAGGATTCAAACCTGCGCAGGCAAAGCCCAATAGATTTCAAGTCTATCTCCTTAACCACTCGGACATATTAACACGTTGACTCTCATGCAAAGATCATTATAATAGATACATCAAAGACAACTTGCAAGGGAAAACAACCGGCAACAGCAAAAAAATGTGTCAACAACAGGATTCAAACATGCACAAGCAAAGCCCAATAGATTTCAAGTCTATTTCCTTAACCATTCAGACATATTGACAAGTTAACAATTATGCAAAGATCATTTTAATAGATACACCAAAGATAACTTGCAAGGGAATACAAATTGAAGAATTATGATTTTCAAAGTCACCCATCCATTGTATTAAATATACAACAATGAAAAGCAAAAGAACAGAGTGACAAAATTATACAAACTAGAGGAAATTTTTGAATCCAAGTCGATAACAAGCTTAAAATAAATGGATATTAATATATGAACCACTCAACCACCTTGTTTACCAAATCACGATTCACAAAATAAAACCTTAAAATTTTCATATTCTGGCATAATATGCAGAAAAATTAACCGTTATACCTCCGGGAGATGCATCCACATAAAGAATCCAAGTTTAGTTTTGGACTCACAAAAGATGTTATACTTCAAAAAATAAGTAAAACACTGAGCAGAAAGCCAAGCCGGAGCTGGACGCTGCTAGTCGCCTCACCAATATATAGCTAACGGTGGTCTCGCTAAAGCTTGTTGCCGTTGTCTCGCCTCGTAGATTGTCGTTGAAGCTTGAAGCCGCTGTCTGTTAACGAGGTTCAACATCGCTTCTCACCTTGCAGATGGATGATAGTGACGTTGTCTCGCCTCGTAGATGGTCGTTGAAGCTTGAAGCCACTGTCTGTCTACGAGGCTCGATGCCGCTTCTCGCCTTGCAGATGGATGATAGGGTCTCGCCGACCTCGCATTGTCAAAGCCCAATAGATTTGGAGTCAGGCAATAAGCCCAATAGATTTGGAGTCAGGCAATAAGCCCAACAGATTTGGAGTCAGGCAATAAGCCCAATAGATTTGGAGTCAGGCAATAAGACCAATAGATTTTTAGACCGCTTATGACATCGTGTAGTCAAAGCCCAATAGATTTCTCTCAAATTTCAATTAAAATTGCAAATTTCTTGCAAATTTCAAGACCGCTTACAATAAAATGCGTCAACAGCAGGATTCAAACCTGCGCAGGCAAAGCCAAATAGATTTCAAGTCTATCTCCTTAACCACTCGGACATATTGACAAGTTCACTCTTATGCAAAGATCATTACAATAGATACATCAAAGACAACTTGCAAGGGAAAACAACCGGCAACAGCAAAAAAATGTGTCAACAACAGGATTCAAACCTGCACAAGCAAAGCCTAATAGATTTCAAGTCTATCTCCATAACCACTCGGACATATTAACAAGTTAACAATTATGCAAAGATCATTCTAATAGATACACCAAAGATAACTTGCAAGGGAATACAAATTGAAGAATTATGATTTTCAAAGACACCCTGTAACACCCCAGATTTTCAAGACTTTTTAAAACTTATAATAAAGGTAGAATCTCATTAAATACCAAGAAATAAATAGAAGCGTACGGGGTGCTATGCCACACCTGCGCTAGAGAACCCAAGTGCACAGGCTAACTAACTAATATCCTCAAAGCGTAATTACGTAAACGTGGCACACAGGCCAAAAGGGAAAACTATCTACTTCTATACTCCAAGATCTAGCGCGCTCCAGTGACTTAATCTTCTGTGCCTGAAAGCCAAATATATCTGTTCAGCGAGAGATGCTGGTAACCCACTCCAACGCGTTGAAATACAATACATATAGAGATATATATAGATATACGAAAACCATTTTGAGCATGAAGATATATCCTACGAACTCTAGCTCTAAAACCGGGAATGACTCGACAGATAAGGCCAGACACAAGCACAGTTATAACGAGCATATGCAGTTCACAACAGATAAGGCAGATAAGGCAAAGCATAAACAATGATCATAACCCAACATGAACAATCCCCAATATAAATCCCATAGTCACCTCCCCCAAGACACTCGTAATCACAACTCGACCATGTCACAACACATAACACACTTTGTTGGCGCCACAGGACCAATCGCATGCCCATACATGAGGGTCAGCGCATATAGCTCTGACACGGCCCCGCAGCACCCTGCCCCGTATCGCAACACGGAGGGGTCGATCGCAACCGACCGATGAACCGCAGCTCATCATAGTGTTTGATCGCAACCAAACAGTGGACCGCAGCCCAAGAGAATGTCATCTGACCGCAGCCAGGAAAAAGGACGAACCGCAGCTCGTATAGAAACGTTTGATCGCAACCAAACGGTGGACCGCAGCCCAAGAGTATCAATCTGACCGCAGCCAGCTTCTGAACCGCAGCTCAGGATAACCAATCCGATCGCAACCGAATTGGGGTAACACACATACATAACACATAGCAAGCACAGGCAACCCACATTACACATTGGGAAGGGGGAGAAACCGTATAACATCAAATGGGGAAGCCGGGATCCCGGGTGGGATGAATTTCCAGCGGGTAGCCGGTGGGTGGGGGCCACCCGCCGGCTGCCCGCCGGATAATACTGTTCCGGGCAACGGGTCGCCGGCGGGCAGCTGCCCGCCCGCCGGCCACCCGCTGCCGGGCGGTGTTTCACGGCCGTGGGTAGGTGGCGGGTCCCCTACCCCCCACTGACTCTTTTCACACACTTTACGCCCTGGGAACCGTTGTGGAACCCGAAACCATGCTTAGACACTTTACAACGCAATCAATGACAATACGTAGATAATTAACGAATCAAATACAAGAAACGAACGGCACATAATCTATCATGCTTTTCTAAATATAATCAACACCCAAACATACCTATCATGCTTTTCTAAATATAATCAACACCCAAACATGCGATTTCCCCACCCGATAATCCAAGAATAAGATCATACGATACAACCTAGGGTTCTAATCACTTTTATATCAACAAGAATACGGTTCGTCTTCTAATTGCGAGATTCGGTAAGAATAACACATAAACATCAAGAGCATCACATAATTATCAAGAACAACACATAATCATCAAGAACTCCATATAATTACCAAGAACACCATAATTATCAAGAATCTCCCAATATCAAGATTATCAAGATCCCTCATGGGATCATCACATCAAACATCAATAATATTCATCATATCTCGCCAATACACAATAATATGGGGGAAACCCTAAGGGGGAATCATAGCTATGAAAATAGGTTTTGTTGAGACATGGGTTACCTCTTAGCCTTAATTAATTCCTTGGCTATGAAGGATCTTTCTTTAAGCTTCCTTGCTTTCTTGATTTCTCCTAAGGGGATTCTTGGAGCTCTTTTGGTGGTGAGGCGTTAATCTTGTGGGAGGGTTCTAGGTGCCTCTTAAGTCCCCTATTTATATATTTAGGTGTCCTAGTTAGGAACTAATATTATGGGCTTGCTAGTTCTATTTCTTTTGGGACTAAGGATTGGGTTTAGGGATAAGGGTCCATGGTCCATAGTGGACCATATTAATTAAAGAGGATCCTAATCATAATCTGAATAGTAAAAGGCCTACTTCCTTTATTCCTAACAGGCTTAAGATTCTTATTCGGGCAAGGGTCTACGGTTCATGGTGGACCTTACTAATTAATTAAAGGTAAACCTAACATAATTAAATCATATTTAATTATTATTAACGGGATTAATTAAATAATTAATCCGGGATTGAAGGCCGTAACACGGGGTGTTACACTCTCCCCCCTTACGAGAAGCTTCGTCCCCGAAGCTTGGAAATCATTGCAGGGTTAACGAGTCAAGAGAAGAACCGTGGTCCTATAGAGATGGTATTCCACGGGGAAATTGTATACTTGCACGCCTATGTGTGTTGGGTTTTTTTTTGGGAACGATTAGGTTTACAGGGCTAAGAGAGTGGGTTTCAAACTTGAGGACACGGTGAATTCAGGAATTAGGATCAAGTTTTCGAGGTTGCAACTTAGGTTGTGAGGTTGCCACTTGTATGGAATCGTTAAAACATGGGATTGAGAATGGGGTCTGAAGGGTAGAAAGGGTTTTGAAATAAGGAAGGGGCCGATTTTCCGAGGGAGGGAAAGGAATTCGGCTAGGATGGGTTAAGGTTTCTCGATCCCAAGTGAATAATCTGGTTAGATGCTTTGATCACGATGCGCCGACGAGCTGATGATCCTCCTTCCTTGGTGTTGGTGCTTGCTTGACTTTAAGATCCTTGTTAGGCCTTGCTTCCCAGGCTAAGGTTTCATCCTTCTCTTCTTTCTTGAGGGAATTTCCCGTGGTGATTCAACACTTACTTCTTTAATGCGCCCAAGGTCTTGACCGAGTTGGGTCAACCAAGCCAATCTCTTAGGGCGCACTTCCCAAATTCTTCCCAAAGTCTCTTGGGAGTCGATGGACTTTGGGTTGAATTTCTCTTCTTATTGAATTTCATCTCCTCTTTAGTGGATGAAATTCTTAGTAAGACTTTATGTCTTACCCGAGGTTCGGCATTGTTGTGCCCTGTTTGTGTTATTTTTAATGATGAAGGTGTCCTTGCGTGCTCTTTTTCTTTTAAAGCGCAGTCGGTTACCAAATCTCGTTGTGGGATGACTCGGCGACTTTACGAGTCACCTCATTTCCTTGTGGGTCCTTACTGACCCTTGAAGTCTTGGCGCGAATGTGTTCTTCACCCTTTTGCTTAGCACCATGGGCTACGTAGTTCTTGATTCCATACAACTTGTAAGGAGTCCTCTGATTTGCTCGAACGATGTCCATGGTTTGGAGGAGTCCCGGTCCCTTCTTAGCATTTTGACTTTTAAGGTTTTCGTGGGTTCTTAGTACGAGTTCCCAACTCGCCTCCTTGGTTTGCGCAATCCTTTACGCCAAACATCCCTAATCGGTTGTATCGTAGGATCCGATTTCAATTACTCGTGCAATGTAATTGATTGTGATTTCCCGATGGTGTCTCGTGCGTCAAGGTCTTTTACGTAGGACACTATGTTTGGGTGGTCCATGGTTCCTTACCCAAGACTCACATTCCTCAATCGAGGCACACAAGTGCGCCATAAATCAATAAAATGAGGGGTTAAGAAATCAGCACATTGTACCAGTGGGCGCGAGGTGGGCGGTCGTCCGCCTGCCAAGCTCCTGCCAAGGACCCGCCAAGGTCCCGTCAAGGACCCGTTGGGGACCCGCGGGAAAGTGACTAGGAATAGTCAATTCCTTCGGGACAGACCCCAAAAATGCACAGATTCATGTCCTGACAAGTCCCATGCCCTTGTGCACAATAAAAGGGACTTGGATACATAGGATGACCCATCGTACAATGTTCATTGATCCTTAAGCACGAGTTCTAGAGGTAGATATACATACATATATATATCTATGTTTTCTTGGTCTGGGTTTAAAGGGGTGTAAGGAGTGCAAGGGCTAGGTTTCAAAGTCGAGGGGCAGATAGGGTCGATGTCTCAAGGTCGTAATACAGGAAGGAAGGTTGCCACCTTGTACGGGTTTGTCTGTAATGAGGGATCAAGAGCGAGGTTTGGAGTGATAGGACGGATTCTTTAACGAAATGGTACTTGATTGGCAAGGGGAGGGACAGGGGCTAAGGACTCTTGGCTTCGAGTGATTATGCCTGTTTGGGGCTTGGTTGTGGCGTGCAGTCGAACTGGTGATCCCTTTTCCTTGGCTTTGTTTGATTCTAAGATTTTCGTTTGATCTTCTCTTCCCGTGTCGAAGTCCCCTTCGTCTCTATGGCTCCCAGGGGAATTCTCGTGATGGTTTTCGTGCACGTTCCCCTCGGATGTCCAGAAGTCTGGACCCAGTCGGTTTAGTGGGTCAAACCCCTAGGTCTTGACTCCTAATCCTTGCCGAGGGTTCTTAAGGGTAAGGGGGGGGGGGGGGGGGTTTCGGGTTAGTCTTTCTTGTTCTATTGGGTTTCATCCCTTCCTTGGTGGATGAAATTCTTAGCAAGGTTTTATGTCCTCCTTGAGGTTCGGCCTGTTGCACCTATTTGACGATGTTTTCTGTAGCGAGGGCCCCTGACACATTGAATGTATTTGTTTGCCCGCTCTTGTCAACGCATGGCGTTCTTCGGTGGCGTACGTACAGGCTATGGTTTCTCGTGAAGCCTTCACGGTTTTCGTGCAAGGGTGGGGTGATACGTATTCGCAACTTCGCCGATTCCTATCTAACAACTTATTTTAATATTGAATCAATGAATGTCGGTTCTTCACGCCCCTGGGCAGGGTAAGGGCCATATACTGCTCTACGGTTTTTAACAGGGTTTCCAAACAGAGTGGGGATATGAACTTAGAGTAAGGGCAATAACAATTTAGGGTTTCCGAGGGTTTGGGTTAAGCGCAACAAAG